CCTGTGATGGACTGTAGACCGGTCCAGGTTGTCCCTGTGATGGACTGAGACCGGTCCAGGTTGTCCCTGTGATGGACTGAGACCGGTCCAGGTTGTCCCTAACCTCTTACACAGTGATTGCTGGACATGGGCACCAGTGACCCAAAAAGGAAGAAGCAGGTAAAGACGATGGATGGTTGGTTCTCAAACACCTAATACAGTTTTATTCATTGTAAAGGGGGAGTAGTGGAGCAGAGGTTAAAGAAGGTGAGCATGTGATCGGAAGGTCGCCGGATCAACTCCCCGAACCGACAACATGAAAATGTGGGTAGGATTGGTGAAGCACCCACACCTGCCACTCTGAGCCCTTGAGCAAGGCTCTTAACCCCCACCATCTGCTCCCCGGGCGCCCTAGACAGCAGCTCTCTGCTCCACACAGAGGCTGTGGTAGCTCGGTGGTCTGTGGTTGGGTCAGGAAGGACATGTGGCATAAAACCAAATGCCAAGTCTTTGTGCGACTCGGCTCGCTGTGGTGACCCCTGAAGAAGGAGCAGCTGAAACAAGCAGAAGAACAAACCTTTGTGTATTTTTGTTACTGACTATGGCCTCCTAATCCACTTAAAGATGATGAGAAGTGATTCTGAAGTTTGACGCAGCATCTTTGCGTTCACTTTTATCAGTGGTTGCCACGGACCCACACTCAGTCTGAACAGCGTACGGTTCAGCTGCTCTGCAGTCGTTCTGACCAGAACACTGGGGTTTAGAGCCGAACCTGAATCTATTTCAGCACGTGGTGGCCCATGTTAGGAATGCACATTAGAAACAGTAAAAAAGGTCAACCGGCCTCGACAGGCGTGTTGAAAGGAACGTCTTCAGGCTAGTTTTTGTACATTTTAAAAAGTACCCTTTCTGTAAGGTGGTAAACTCCAACTGAATCTTTTACTTTCCTGTTTGTCAGACAAATTTGTCTCTCTAAGATCATTTATTTTAGATGCAACACAATCGGCAGGACAGACAAGTTTCACCTAAAATAAAGTAAAATATACAACAAAGCCAAACGCCTAACACGACTGATTACCAAACTCTATTTAATGCTGAGGTTTCTCCTGAGAAGTTGACGCGTCTTCAATCAATAACGTAGCATCCTAAAAATTAATTGGGCTATTGTTTGTTTTTTTTTTAAGAAAATTGAGACCTGGAACTAAAGCTACTAATTAAATTAAATAAAGGCCTAGCATTTCTTTAAGTGATGCGTTTTCCCCGTTATGTTTCATGCCAAAATTTTAAACTAAAATCATTTTAGGCCGAGAAGGAACAGATTTAAAGAAGTTTCGATCGAACCGTATGAATGTCAACACATTTTATTTAGTAAGTAAGTAGCTAATTTGACTTATAAAGAAAAAAAAACTAGAAAGTTCCTGAAGAAACAGTGACGGGGACTGCCATGTTGCAGTCATTTAAATTTTTTGATTTGACAGTTGGGGTTCACTCTCAGCCAATACACCAATTTTCAGCTCAATATGGTAAAAAAATATAAAATCAACGAGTTATAGTCATTTTTTTTTTTCTTTTAGGCTATGGTGGCCATCTTGGAGTTTTTATTTGGATTCAGTATGTGATGGAGAACGTTCTCAGCTAAACTTCCCCAAATTTCAGCTCTGTATGTGTAAAAATAGTTGAGTTAAAGCCATTTAAATGTAGATTTGGTGGCCATTTTGAAAGTTTTATTTGAATTCAGTATTTATTGGGCATTGCTCTCAGCTACAACCACAGAAAATGTCGGCTTACCATCTCTAAAAATGGCTGATTTATAGTATTTTTCCTTTATAGCACAAGTGGCCATCTTGGATTTTTGATTTTCATTAGGAATGTACAAACCGCTCTCAGCTACAACCGTACCAAATTTCAGCTCAATACCTCAAAGAATGACTGCGTTATAGTCAATTTTGAGTTTTCTGCGGTAGCTGTGGCGGCCATCTTGAACCAAAATGGCTCCAAAAGTTAATCGTTTTGTTCAGAGACCTCTCCACTCTTGGTCATGTGACCTTGCTGTGGCAGTTAGATGCTGTTGAGAGTTCTGTCAGGCATTTGCAATGAGAAAAATGCCGTCTTTGTTTGCACATTACGTCGCCACGGTAACGACGATGCTGAGCAGGTCGTTTTGATACGACATTTGTTGGGGGTACACACACACACACACACACACACACACACGAGTCGCATTAAAGTTGACCCCTTTCAGGTGGATAATAAGCAGTCACCTATTATTATTATCCTTCATTTGCAAAGTAAATTATACCAAGTGAATTAAAATGATGCTTGTAAGCAAATATCAATCTTGGACAAAAAATAAAAAAGAAGTTGTTATCCGTCTTGTTTGAGGGGGTGAACCCAAGCAACAGAAACCAGCCTGGTTCACCACAGCAACTGGCCGAAATCCAGCCCAAAACCCAAGAATGACATTATCTACCAGCAACAGCTTGAACGTTTTGCCAGAGATCTTTCTTCAGCACTGGTCCTTTCCAAAAAGTTTGTTTCTACGTCTTTTCATAATGGCTGTTTTTGATGTTGTGGTTTTCACTGCCATCAGTCGGGTCATGGGTTTACGTGGTGCGCCTGACACTTGGTTGAATCCAAACCAAGAATATGTGGTTTTCTTCTACTGCTTTGGTCAGCGTGTTTGAACTCATGGTGAAGTCACTGTAGCTGTGGAAGGCCACTCTCAGATAACTCGACAAACACAAGTGGAGAGAGAAAAGTAGCCCGAAAGATTGTTTAAACACACACACATTATTGATCCAAGCACCTAGGTCTTATTTAAAATCACCTCAAAGCGATGGGAGGCATTACCCCCCAGTGACTCATTGATGAACCCCTCCAGGGATTTGGGTTGGTTGGGGTTAGGTTTTGGAGCGGACACCCCATCGGCTTCTTGTCTGATCTGGTCTTTTTGAAGACGCCGCTCCTTCCGAAACTCTTTGGCCTTCCTACAGGGCGGACGGCTCAGATCAGCTCCCAGTCCTGCATGCAAAGGTGGAAACAGATTGTTTGGAGGGGTGTCAAAACTTTCAGAAGGGTTCAGGATAAAAGTGTAGCGGTTCGTAAACGTGCTCAGACGAGGAACGTTCTAGCTGAATGAAAGAGGAGCAGCTGCATGATGCGTAGACGGGTATCAGTCTTCTGAACAAGACCCAAAACAACACATTGCAACTTCAGATCGTGGCCAGTGCTTACGGTAACTTTTTATATGGCAGTATTCTATGGAAATTATAATAATAGTTAGTAATCTTTAATGAGTAAAAGAGCTTTTGTTCCTGAAAGACCAACCATGTGTGCACACAACATAAAGTTCAGAAAATGTCTTTCCAAAACATTTTATTCCAATAATAATCAAATAAAAAAAAAAACATCTTAAACTGGCCTTATTGTTTTCAGAGAGGAGATGAGAAATATACGTTTTTAAATTTAATTAGTGGTTGTTTTTCTACAAGTGGACCAACGCTTAGCTCAGGTCTGCTTTCTCATTCTGGGCACAATCCAACAATTTATTTAACAGTTGTTCTTCACATAGAAACACATGACCATCGCTTCAGCTACTTAAAAAAAACTTTTAAATCTGTTTGAGAGAACATGCGTTTTTTCTTCCTATGCTACATTTAGCTTTTAGCTATTCTTATGCTACCTTTACCTTCTTGCAACCCTTTTGAATTGTTTAGCTAGCATTTTACATTTTTTGGAGAGTGGTGGCACAGAGGTTAAAGAAGGTGGGCCTGTGATCGGAAGGTCGCTGGTTCAACTCCCGATACCGACGACATCAAAATGTGGGTGGGATAGGTGACATACTCACACCTGCCTCCACCCCATTCTGTGCCCTTGAGCAAGGCCCTTAACCTCCCCATCTGCTCCCACGGGCGCCCTAGACAGCAGCTCTCTGCTCCACAGAGATGGCTGTGGTAGCTCAAAGGTCTGTGGTTGTGTCAGGAAGAGCATCCGGCGTAAAAACAATCACCAAGTCTTCGTGCGACTCAGTTCGCTGTGGTGACCCCTGATGACGGGAGAAGCCGAAAGAAGAAAAAAACAATAATTTACAACTCTTAGCTAGCATTTTTAGCTAGTACATCTAGTACAGGGCGGCTGTGGCTGAGTGGTTACAGCAGTCGTCCTCCAATGCAAGAGTTGGGGGTTTGATTGCACCAGCAGTGACATGCCGAAGTGTCCCTGGGCAAGACATTGAACTCCTCATTGCCTGTGATGTGTCCCATCAGTGTATGAATGTGATAAAGCTCTGATTCATCTCTTTAAAATGATCTGTTCAATTAGCTTTGTACAGATCTAGTGGAGCGCTGTATGAATGGGTAAATGAGGAAGATTGTGTTGTGAGGCGCTTCGAGTATCTTGATAAGATGGAAAGGCAAGTACAAGTACACTCCATTTACTATCTGAAACTAGAATTTACAACTTTGAGCTGTTAGCTAACATCTTGCTGTTATTGGCTGTCATTTTGTTGATTTCAGCTAGCATTTTGCTTCTTTTAGCTAGCATACTAATCCCTTCGCTTTTAGCTAAACTTGTTGTACATGTAGCTTCTAGCTAATGTTTTGCGACTTTCAGTTTCCCAGATGCTGATTTTAGCTAGCCTTTTGCTAATTTAAGTTTAAAATAGACTTTTGATCATTTTAGCTAGTACTTTTAGCTAGCTTACAACTACATTAGCGTTTAGCTAAACTGTTGCTCCTCTGATCTTCTGCACAGTATGCTGGTGAAGCTTCTCAGTCATCCAGGACATGATAAATTCAAAAACGTTCAAGACAAAAACAACTGGACTTTATTTGTAACAGAAGACGTTTCGCTCCTCATCCGAGGAGCTTTCTCACTTCCGTCTTTTAGCTTCTGCACAGTGTTTTGCTACTTTTCGCTACCCTTTTGTTACTTCGGCTTTTACATAGCTTTTAGCCACTTTTCACTAACCAACTCCTTTTAGCCAACGCTCTGCTAGCTTTTTGCTACTTTTATGGTTTAGCTAGCAATTTGCTACTTTGGTCTTTTAGCTTCTGTTTTGCTTGTTTTATCCATCTCTAGGGCTTTGCTTGTTTAATGTTTTAGCTAGTGTTCAGCTTCATTTAGCTTTAACGCAGTTTCGGCTTTTTAGCAAACTGAAAGTTATTAAGCTCTACAGTCGCCGTGCAGTTTGACAGAAGATGCCATTTCTCTAGTTTATAGTTATAAAGAAGCAAACGCTTGACATTAAAATAAAAACAGCTGTTTTCCTGATGTGAGGTTGTTCTCATTCAAAACAGCTAAAAGGCAACCAGATCTCTCGGTATTGCTCCCTGCGAGCACCCCCCCCCCCCCCCCCCGTCCTTTCGCTGCTCGTTCTCCTCCTCCCAGACCAGCAGAACTTCTTGAGCTCCTGCCAAGCCCTCCAGGTCTCCGGGCATCCCATGTCAACAGTTTACACCCCCACATCCTGTTTGGAGCAATAAGGAAGCGATAGCTGTTTCCTGCTTGCACTACTGCCAGCTGCCACCATCAGCCCACAGACTAACCCCCCTCCCCCTCTGATGACGTCGTAGGGGAGAGGACTTCGTCTCCTCTTGACACACGGAGAAGAAAAATGCGGTCATGGCCAAGAATCACCGGCAGCCGTTAAGCTAACCCATTTGTTTTATTGCCGTCTTTAAGTAGAACGTAGAACTAGACTTCTTTATTTACACTTTCCCTCTTAGTGTCACGCAGCAGCACACCTGTGCACAGCGGTGCTGAGGATGCAGTCGGGCAGATCACTTCCTGTTCAAGACAGATGCTCGCACTCCTGCAGTGAAAACTGGGACATTTATCCTCCCTTTTGTTTTGTTTTTTAAGAAAAACGTTCACACAATACACTCAGTGGTCTACACGTGAGGCATACTGCCGTCTTTTATATAAACACGTAAAAGGAGCAAGTCCCAGTTTGTTTACCTTTGGAGCAGAACGCTGCAATCTGCGAGCGGTCGTTAAACCCCGACACAGGCCCACAGACGACGTTCAGACAATATGCGCTGCAAACTATTTCTGCCTGCAGAAAACAAGCGCCATACTGTAATTAAACCAGGGTCGGCTCACAGTTCTGCATTGACTTGTTCCTCGGAGACTAGCGCCGGTATTGGAGGTACAGGGAGTCGTGTTTTCTCAAGCTGGAATTGGAACCTCCCCAAAGTTATAAAGCCTCCAGTCATGAAAAAATAGAGGGAATATATGACCAGGTGTTTTCAGTTGGAGGTGAATGGAGGGGTGGGGGCGATAGTAAATCCTCCTGCTTTGCTGAAAAGCCTCGTTATACTCGACACCGTAACTCAGAGGGCCGTGGTGCTGACACGGGCTCAACAGAACAATACCTGCTGAAATCTTTACCCTGAATGTTTACGTCTGAATCGGTTTGTGCCGGCGCTGAGCGTTCCTCCTCCACTAACAGTCTCTTTAGACTATAGGAAAAAACATAACAATAAAAAAGATGACGCCTAAAACAGACATTTGTGACTAGTTCTGCCTTCTGTGGGAGTTCATCTCTTCACGTGACTGTTATTAATGTATTATTGTTAGACGGCAGAGAGAGGAGCAACATGAAACGTAACTCCAACTAAAGCCTGAGGAACCAAATTTATTCAACAAGCCGAGTATTACAGGGTCACACAGCGACACCGTGTGGCAAAACGTGGAAGAGCTGCAACAAAACACGAAGCGACCTACAGGAACCCGCATGAATTCTAGATGCAACGCACACCTAGAGTACAAGAAACCGCACAAGACCAGGACTACATTTAATATAGGTTTGTCTACTTTTTCCATTTGTCCATGAAACCCAATGAATCCAATCAGCTACTTAGACTACAAGCATGTCCTAAAGACATAAAAACCTGGATGACCATAAATTTTCTGCTGTTGAACACAGACAAGACTGAGGTTTTAGTTTTAGGACCAGAGCATCTTTCTCCCTCCTTAGATGACATTAATCTGTCCTCCAGCTCTAATATTAAACATCTTGGTGTTATTTTTGATCAGGACACGTCTTTTATCCCCCCACATTAAAATCGTCCTTCTTCCACCTGCGTAATATCACTAAAATTAGAAACATCTAAAAATGATGCAGAAAAACTGGTCACGTCTAGACTGGACTATTGCAACGGTTTATTATCTGGGTGTCCAAATACTTCTTTAAAACGTCTTCAGCTGATCCAAAATGCTGCTGCCAGAGTCTTAACTGGAGTTACTGGGAGAGATCATATCTCTCCAGTTTTAGCTTCTCTCCATTGGCTCCCTGTCAAATCCAGAGTAGAATTCAAAATCTTACTTCTAACCTACAAAGCCATCAACAACCTAGCTCCATCTTACTGTATATTAGAGATCTTATTGTTCCATATTTTCCCGACAGAGCACTTCGCTCTCAGGCTGCAGGTTTACTCGCGGTTCCTAGAGTTTCCAAAAACAGAATGGGAGGAAGACCTTTCAGTTCTCAGGCTCCTCTCTTGTGGAACCAACTTCCAGTTTCTGTCCGTGAGGCTGACACATTGTCCAGTTTGAAGACTTTCCTTTTTGATAAATCCTATAGTTAGCTTGGTTTCCTGATCTATTCCTTATCCTATGCTGCTATAGGCTTAAACTAGTGGAGGACAAATTGACCTCATGTATCACGTGTGGTGTGCATGACAAATAAATCTCTCGGACTCTGACAAATTAATAGCTACAAATACAATAAATCGCGGTATTAACTGACATTTTATGTATATTAATATTTCTGTTAACTTATTTTATATATTAATGTTTCTGTTCGGTGCCCTGAGGCGACTTCTGTTGTGACTTGGCGCTGTATAAATAAACTGACACGTTTAGTTATCACCTCATTAACCTTGTGTGAGCCTGTCTGTTAGCAAAACATCTCAATCCACTGTAGGAATTTTAATGAAACTTGCAAAAAAATCAATCTAACGTTCAACTACATGCAAAAGCAGCAAAGTAGAGTCGAGCTAAAAGTAGCATGATGAGGCATGGGGAGTGTTCTGAAGCGGATCTTAAAGAGAACGTTTTTGAAAAGCGGCGTGAATGCTGACTCAGCAGGGAGACAATGAGCATAAACCATAAGAAGAAATGCTCTGACAAAGAATAATCAGAGGTACTTGGTACAATTTACTGGAATCATAATGTTAATAAATGCACAAGTTACTGTTTGGAAAGGCAGCAGATTCTTTTTACCTGGATTAGGAGCCGTTCTCTGGTCTGGGAGGGACGGCGGAGCCTTCTGAGAGCTTTCTGTGCTCGCAGCCGTGGACTCTTCTGACTCCTGAACTTCTGCAGCAGCAGGACACTTGGGCACTTCCCGTTGAAGATCTGTGATAGCAGCACATCTCAAATCTGACTGGCAGACGTCGGTGGGCTCCCGTGGACTGGGCTCCGGACACACGGAGTCCATGGGCTCCCCTGCAGGGCACAACCATCAGTTCTGGTGAGAACCGCTACGAATTCAGGCTCAACTGGACCCGTGATTGCAACTATTAAATTAAAAGTCTACATTTAACCATAAGAAATACAATTCCATTTATTCAAACTACTGTTTTGCACCAAGCGAAACATTTTCCACCTTCTCCCTTTGGCAGTTCCCCACTGGAAATAAATTTGTTCAACTTCTTCAGAACTTTCTTGTGGGATTTGGAAGGCTGAAAGTTCAGTGCGTGGCACCTTAATGTAGAAGAGGAAAGTAGAAGAATAATTAAAGCGCATTAGATTTGCATGCGTGTATTCAAACAACTAATGAAGCATGAATCACAACCCCTTCAGTAAATGCTTACCTGATGGTGTACTGTGGACAGCAGGTCTTCTTCAGAGTGGGTTTATAAATATATTTACCACTTCTGAAAAAGAAAGACAAATAATTTTGTTTTAGCGTACAATCTGCAGTTTATTCAAGCCATAACTTTATAAAAAACCCACATAATGTTCATACAATTGCCATGTTGCAACCCAAAAAATGTTGACTGCTCAGAGCACAGAAAGAATATTTGCAGTGTCTTGTGAAAGTATTGGGCCCCTTGAACTTTTCAACCTTTTGCCACATTTCAGGCTTCAAACATAAAGATATAAAATTTTAATTTTTTGTGAAGAATCAACAACAAGTGGGACACGATCGTGAAGTGGAATGAAATTTATTGGATGTGTCAAACTTTTTTAACAAATAAA